TTTGAATGTAGGTGTTGTGATTGAAGACATGACTCACGGGGGTTTTTATTTACTCATTCGTGTGAATGGAGCTTTGTGAGTCATGTATGCGATGTTGTGAGTCGTTCTAGAAGAAATTCTGTTTTTCTTATTTTTCCTTTCTAACATCATTTAGCTGCGGGCGATCAATTGAGAGTGTGGGGCATCCAGAAAGAATCCCAACCTACGGAGTGTACTAACTAGTAGTCCGCGATATTATATATGATCTATATTGATTAGGTTATTATTCTAGATTTAGTTGTAGAAAACTATTGCTCACTATGATAATAAATGACCAACATCAATTCTCTACATAATGGGTATATCAGAAACAACACCAAACCCTTCCTCCGCCGTAGTCCATGCCACAAGACAATAAATAAGGGAAAAATGAAAGGTAAAAAGATCAGCACTTCATCGATCACAGATACAGTTGCATTCCGCAACCGGGCAGACCCTATGCTTCATGAACCACTCTTGGGCATGGTGCGCATGGAATCCGTGGTTACAGTTGATACAGAACACGATGAATCTTCGCATCATCTCCGCTTGGGTAGGCTTTCCGGCCTGCTGTCCAGCATCAGCGGCGAGGCACGCTTTCGACATTGGGTCTGGAGACCCCAGCCAGAAAGTACAGACACCGCATCGGGGCATATGCCGACCGCAGCGTGGACAAACCATTCCGGACATCGCCGACGTGCCCAGAGGGTTCCCCGGGGTGGGGTGGACGACCTCGCCCGTGGTAGATGGTGAAAGCTGAGAGGAGGCATCGTGTTGGGTAAGTGGTCGGGTACAATAATTGCAAGTCAGACTGACTTGTTGTCGCGGTGGCTCAATCAATTTTCTACCGTCCCAGGTGACGGCGAATTTGCGGGAACCGACATCGAATCGTGCTCGTTCCAGCTGCAGCTTCCAGGAATTAATCTGCCAACGGTACGTTTCGCGCCATGCTTCAAAGCGGGCTCTATTCGGGTTGTTATTAATGAAACGTGGGACGGCGTGGCTCATGGCAAGGACCGGTGTTTGCACGTCGTTGAATTTCCTGATGTATGATTGAAAAAGGTCCATAGCGGAAGGCCCCAGTCCTGTTAGCACGATGCCTTCAATATCTCCCTGAAGGATGGCTTCGGCGGTCATTTCGTTTATATACTCGGTCAGCTCATCGTCGGGCAGCCAACGCACAGCAACCTCAATTCGATACTTCAATGGAAGCGTGGTTTCCTGGATGACAGAGTTCCAGTCCCCTTTGCTCACAAGTGCCAAGATCGCTCGTGCATATGGGTCTGTGAGTTCTTTGGCAATCTCTGCGCAGGTGTCCTCCCAATCTGGGTCAGTGTCACCTTTCGCTGCACCAGCAATGGCCATGGCAAGCAGCTTATGTGCTTGAGTGGGCCGGTGGCTTCGCAACGCTAAGTAGGCCAATTTAGCCTCATCCTGAAAGACAGCCAGAGCTGCTGCTTTAGTATGCTGGCTATCGGCTGACAACGTTTTGACGAGTTCTTCTAATTCACGGTGAGTCTGAGCTGCGCCGCAGAGTCGGAGGCAGAGCCTGCGATGCTCTGGATAATCTGTCTCACAGCCCCTGATCTCAGGGAGATTTAATTGTTCTCGAACTAAATTGACGATTACCTTACTGATATCAGGTCTGGCATCGGGTTCGAGGTGCCGAGTTTCCAGAGTTTCGCCTGCAGAACGTAAGTTATGTACCGTAGGAAAATAGCCCACGCCCTGAGCAAATGTAATACACACCTAGATCATTGTTCCAAATGTCATACACTCCCACATAATTTAGATCTAGGCCGTTTGCAATCATTGAGTCATTAGATGAGTCATTGCGCCTGCCTATTTAGAATATTAGTACATGTGTATCATAAAATCCAATATCCAACTCACGTTCAATCCAACTCCAGCAACCTTGCAGGCGAGGATCATCAGCGAGTATCTTCCGGTTTCGGGCTGCATCAAATAAATACCCCTCTTTACAACGAAGTCTGTTGATAGTCAATAAGGTCAAAGCCTCCTCGGCTGTAATCGGATTGCCTGAAGCTCCTAGAGACAGAGCATGTTCCCGAGCCTCACGACTAGATAAAGGCTTCGTGGGACGACTTTCACGCGGTACTTCCTGAACATCGTGGCCTGGTAAAATACGTTCACGAAGGTCTTCAACCACTTCAGAAACGCGCAGCCCTTGACTAGGCAGAGGGCTTATCGTTCGGAAATCTGCGTCGTCGCCAGATGTGCCGCGTATCAACAAGCCTTGGGATGAGAGTCGTACAGGAGGTGATGGCGGTTTTGTTGTAATAATGTTGACCTGGCCATTGCCCGATAGCGTTAAGGCAGTAGGTTCATTGGTGGGACTCATATTCAGGAAATCGAAGGATACGATCCTTTCCGACTCCGGATAGCCTCGTGTCGGATGATTGAATGGGCTGGAAACATCCCGCACATACTTTGTGTATATCTGCTCTGGATAGTTCTTCGAAGATCCTTGGCCCAAAGTCTCATCCATTGACGAGCGATATTCCTCTGACAAGTATTCTTTGACAACATCGTAAGTTTTGAAGTGGCCGGTATTCGCAAGAACACCTAGACATCCCCTCTTTGTTTTCGAGAATCGCAGACTCCAGATGGTTGACTTGGGAGCGATGACATTCTTGAACTCAAGCGCAGGTCCCGGCTGTCCGGTCTCAAGAGTGTTTGCTGGACCTACACTAGGAGTCGTATATCGAGAACCTACACGTCGATCCCAGATACAGATAGTAGGATCATTAGAGGTAAGGCACGATGCAATGTAGTTCTCGTCCAGCCAGTCAATAGCCAAACCATGAACACATCGAGTCGGAAACTGCAGCGACGGATTGCCAGGTCCCTCTTTACAAACCAATTAGACAACGGCGGCACGTAGAGTAGGAGACAACAAACCCACCTCGAAGATCATAAATTCTGACATACTGGCCCTTCACACCAGCCACTAGTGTGTCAGGTTGATCCCTGAAGAACTTCACACTGGTGATCGGTTCCGAACTAGCCAGCTTCCTCAGTGGCTCCACAGCCCCCTTCCCCCCTCTCATAGCGAGCCGCTGGTTGACATCCCAGACATTGAGGCAAAAATCATTTCGCACGCGATCTAGGCCAGCAGCCAGTAATCCGTGCGTGCTGAACGCGACAGCATTACAGTACCGCTGGTGACGAATTGGAAACGAGAACGATTCCTGGGACCCGCTGCCCAGGCGCAGAATAGTGGCGTCTCCGGACGACTGGCCGACAGCGACGAGCGATTCATCAGCGGGCGACCAGTCGAAGGCTCGGAATGCCGGGACCTTGGTGTGAGCAGCAAGCACCTCATGTTCTAGATTTTGGCCGTCGAAGGACGTCACCCTGCACAGGCGGAATGCCTTTCCTGCCACATCCACCGAGAGAAAGCGCTGTTCCGCCGTGGTTGACGATGGCGACCAGCGAATCGCGGTCTCCATCTCTTCTCCTATTTATTGTTTTGTGGTTTGGTTCGTCTTTGTGTTCGTCCAGGCTGTCGTAGAATAGACACGACCAGCTGACTGGTCGCCTACCTAATCTAAGCGGGATGTACCTATCTGCAGCGCCCAGCAGTGATCCATGCTCTTACCAGCTTGTACAACTGGTAAGTCAAGCACCGGGCTGCATAGCGACAATTGCGAAATGCAATGTCAACGGCAAAGTGGATTCGAGTTCCGGCGCACAGCCTCTGACGAGTAGTATGAAACCTTCAATTAGATCCGCAGTTCCCTGGGTTAGTTAATGCGTAAGGTACAATCTAAGCGCGTCATTGGACACAGCCCAGCCCTGATTGGCTACCGTCGGAATCTGGAGATTATCCGGGCCGATAGATGATCCGCCGGTATTTTTTTGTAGTTTCATTATTTTCTCTCTAGAGTTCAACTGCACTGGAACGAGAAGAAAAGAAACAAAGTTCAGTTTCAGCCGCACATAATGCCCCGAGACAACTCCAGATCACAGTCACCCGTCTCCCGGCCCTCTGGCGACAGGCATTATCGGGACCGCAGCGACCCTCCTAAACGTAAACACAATTCCGACGAAGCATCGCACCAGCCTTACAGAAAGAAGGTCCAGCTGCCAAAAAAGGAACACCAGTACCCTTCCGTCAACGAATTGAAGAAGCGCATTCGCGATGTCAAACGTCTTTTGAATCGAGTGGATCTCCCGGCAGATGCACGCATTGTGCAGGAGCGTGCCCTCGCTGGTTACGAGAATGATCTAGAGGAGGAAGAGAACCGACGGGAGCGGTCGAAGATGATCAAGAAATACCACTTTGTTCGATTCTTGGGTATGTTGCGTCTAATGTCGTGATACTGTTCTTTTCAAGGTTATAAACTAATTTTTCACCAAATGACAGATCGCAAAACCGCTTCCAAAGATGTCAAGCGCCTCGAACGTCGCCAAAAGGAGGTTTCAGACTCCGGTCTAGACTCCGCAGCCAAAGAACAGAAACTCGCCGCTCTTGCGCAAAAGCTCCGTGTCGCTCGTGTCAATTTGAACTACACCATCTACTACCCTCTAGCGGAGAGATATGTCGCTCTATACGCTGATGCGAAGAAGAAAAAGGATCAGGCGAAGGATGGAGACAACGATGAAGACGGCGATGCAGGCTATACACTTGTTCATGTGAATGCTGCTGATAAGCCAGCTATGTGGCACACCGTGGAGAAGTGTATGAAGGACGGAACCCTCGAACTTCTGCGCGACGGAAAATTGAAGAACGGAGAGTCTGGTACTGAAACAAAGAAGAAAGCCAACATGGACAAGAAGAAGACCGGTGTTCGTGATTCTGCGCGGCACAAGGACACCACGAAGACTAGCGTCAAGCCGCAAGGAAGAGAGGACAAGAAAGCGAAGGACTCGAGAGGATCTTCTTCTAAGAACGATAGTCGCTATACCCGGGCACGCCAGAGCTCACCCGACGACAATGGCGATGAGAGCGACGGGGGTTTCTTTGAGATGTAATCGCTATGGAGAGGAAGTGGTGTATCAGGTATTGTTGCATTTTCAGGAGTTGGTTCGTGTCGGTTATTCTGTCTTTAACCTCCTTCAAGCTGTCTTTCAAAAAGCATCTTTTTTACGTCGTATGCGATACCCAACGTTAAGACTGGGCCATTGACCTGCTCAGTTCATTGTATGTACCTAGTGCAGTTACGCTATTACAATTGAGGACATGATTATAGAAGTAAGACGTTGATAAGAAAAATGTTGAATCTAAGTGACCGCTAAAATCAACCCTAACCTAAACAACAGACTCCAAATTTCTCCATTCCCTTCTAATGAATAGACCAAGAAACAGATATTCCAAAGGATAGAGGGGATTGGTAGGTTACAAAAAAGGACGTCAAGCATATGTCCTGAGCCCCAATCGTACACCAGGCCAATCAAGAATATACTTGCGTGGATGTCAAAAGGGCTGGTGTGGGAGGGAGAGAGAGAGAGAGAGCCAGTACGAAACAAGTTCGCTATAGGCTAAACTTCCAGCGTAGATAAGCACACTTATCCAACTGCTTGCACAAATTCATACATTCATGTCTCATAGCATACTCTGTGCCTGGAGATATGCAATTCAGTTCACCACATTGCCAGCATTGTTCAGCTGCCAATTTTTAATCGGAAAGCACAATGGCAAACGCATTCAACAAGGTTGCCAGAACCTCGTAGCTGAAAGAGTGAGTTTTCACACACGGAGACATCTTTACAAGCACACTTGTAGATGCTTTGTGTTCAATGTGAAGACTAGGTAAAGAAAAGAAGAAGAAAAGTAAAGAATGACTTCCTCACATGACGAGACAGGACCCACCACTGTGTGCTCTCCTGCGTCTTCCCCCAAGGGCGGAAATGCCCCCAGCACCATAGGCGTCGTCACCTTCGTCGTCAGCATTGTAGATTCTCTCGGCTTCACGAGCTCGACGCCGTCTTCTTCTAGCACCAGCACCTGCCGCGCCTGCTTCTTCTGTAGCCATCATGTAATCAGCCCATTTCCGATCTAGACGGTTTGCGGCAGCAAGATCCCCTCTCAGGACTCGCTTGTTATGCTCGTTCACAGTCATCTGCCAGCCATAGAAACATTTGAGCTGGATGATCTCGTTGGGGTATACCGAAGGCTGTGGTGGGGGCGTGATAGAGGATGTAATTAGTGTCTTCGTATCTGTCGATCCGTGAGGTATAACAGCCTGTGCTACAACTGATATAGCCGATGTAGCTTGTAACGACTTGCGAGAACGTGGAACATAGGCATTGCTCGAAAGAACCTCTTTTACACCAGCCCAAGTAACGTTGGCACAGTCGAATATAACCAAGCGCAAACCAACACGAGGTAGGTCTTCACCGTAACCTCGCTTGCGGACACGGTAGCTGGCTTCCATCAAAGTAAGGTCGGAAACTCGAGTGTTATCCATTTCAACAGAGCGGAGAGAAGGGCAGTTCTTCATAACTTGAAGCATCCCAGGGTCACCGAGGGCTTCACAGTAACTAATGTTAAGGTGTTCTAGGTGTTCGGCGCACGGCGCCTTTGCGATTTCTAGGAGGGTGCTATTGGTGAGCCTTTCGATGTCCTCAATGTCAAGATGGGTTAGGCGAGGCGTGGTACGGATGACAGCGATAACAGAGTCGTCGCTAAGTTCGGTGCACTGAGAGAGCTGCAGGCCCTCGAGGTAGGGAACATTGTAGGCGAGACTTTTCACTCCATTATCTGTCAAATCATGACATTGATGCAGATCCAGGTGTTTCAATTGCCGAGGAGGTACAATGGGTCGATCGAGAAGCACATCCATTTCGGGATCAATGCCGTGCACGAGAACCTTCAAGCACTCATCAGTAATATCAGTGCGACTGACAATCAGGCGTTCCAAGGTATTTCGTTTGAATAGTTCCAGCGCAAACTCCTCATCATCGAAGCCGCGAATTTCGCTGGCTCCCAGGTCTTTCAACTTCGGGCATTCCTTAATGATTCTCTTCAACCCATTTGTATTCACGCCCGAACACCAAGACACATTCAGAATTTCAAGCTGTGGGCATGATTGAGCAATGATCTTCATGGCCGAATTCGTTACACTGCTCAATCCCGAGACATTGATGTACTCCAAACGAGGATTTCGTAAAAGGAAATAATGCATGGAAGTCTTATCGATACGGCATCCCTCCAGGGAGAAATTAACAACGTTCCGGCACAAGTCGGTAATGCGCTTGCCTTCAGATTTCCATTTCTCTCGCAACTGAACGCAACCGCGGAGGTTAAGATCCCGGACGAATGGGCCGCCAGATGCGATGATCTTCACGAGACCATCACTAGGGATATCGCGATAGTAATCTGTAGTGTCAATTGCAGCCCACAACTGCCCATCAAAGCACATCTTGTTCCAGGCTTTGGAGACGACAGAGCAGCGGACAATTTCCCGGGGAGTTAAATGGCTAAAGATCAGCATTCTGAGCTCTCCGGGCATGCTTCCCCAGAAATCGAAGGCCTTCTTGGGCTTCGATGCGGGCTGAACGACAGCAGTTTCCTGGATCACATCGGTACTTCCTAGCGGCGATCCAAGGGAACCTGGTCTCAGCTCGGTCGGCACAGGGACTGACCTTAACTGAGCAGTATTTGGTGAGTCGGACCCAACAAGGCGGATTCGAGCATTTCCCTCATGTTCTTCCACTGGGCCAGCCTGACCAGAAGTCATTGGGCGCACATTCAATCCACCATAGAGTTGCGATGAGCTTCCGTTACCGAGGCAAGGATTATACGCGGAATGTCCTAGCGAGACACAGGACAATGAAGCTTTTCCATCTCGGCGGTAGCCAGTCGAATGGGAGCGGCCGCGCTTCAGACTGGGGCTCGATGAGATGCGTTGGAGGCTTTGCAGCAATTTATGTCGTCCTTTGAGTTTTGGAGGTTGATCCAAGGGTATCTGGCCTGCTGAAGAGGCCGGACTCACCGGTGAGGCTACTCCAGATACAGGAGTAATCCTGTCGGTACTTGTAGCAGCCATGGTGTATATGGCGTATATAAATACCAGAGCCTCTTTCAGTCCAGCAGGTGTTTTGAGCTCTTTCCGAACACTACTAGATTGAAGATGCCCCTGAATATGTAAAACCTAAACAGTCGACCAAAATGAGATTCTATCAACGACGGGCGCAAACTCGCGCAAAAGTCAACCAGTGATTTGGGTTTTAGATCGTGGTCATAGTGACGGTTTCCAAGGCCGGTTCCCGAAGTATATTGTTTTGGATGCAATGGCAGCACGATGTCAACGCCAAAAAGTCCGTTCCAGCGGATATGAAGGCCGCAGGGTGAAGCAAAGGGTGAGAGGGACAGAGTATAACACAAATAAGAAAGAATGAAGGTCACCAAGAAAAGAGGAAGAATCAAGGGACAGATAGCGTTGTGGTTTTTCTCGGCTAAGATCTGTAAGAATTGTACCATGGGACCTCCGGACCGCGTAACCCGGGGGGCTCGGTCAGTGCGGGAAACCCCAGTGTACGGACGTCGTCGTTGGAACTGAAGGAATAGAAAAGCCTGGGTCTGTATAGGTACGTCACTTGGGCATCATCCACACAGTTAATGAACAGCCAAAAATCGAAAACGGACAACTGTGATGCAAAAGGGCCTTGAAGAGAAGCAAAAAGGGGGAGAGTATCTGGTCAGTTGGACAATAAGTCGAGAATCTTGTACGGTCGGAGTGTCACTTCGGTCAGCCGACTTTACTGGCAGTTCTTTTACCGTACGATTGAGCCACACCTCCACTGCTGGTTTTCTACGTAGGTGGTAAGCCCATTTCACACCCGACCTGTCAAAAACAAGGGCCCCGCCTTTAGGTTACCCACCGGTTTTCTGGTGGTGTATGCATGAATACCTACTTTACAGTACTCAGTACAGTTGCTTGCTCTCCGCCACCACAAGGCTCCCCTCCACAGACTTATCGGATCCCTTATCGATTAACGATAACCCGAGACCTGCCCCACTTGGCGTCTCTATTCCATGCAAAGTGGGGGGCGCTTTACATACAGTACTGGATTAAGGAAAACTGTATTTTAAGATTGGGAATCCTCCACGACTGTTACTCTATAGAAAAAGAAAGTAAGAACTGTCTCGAAACATTTAAGACATAATGGACAACATGGAAGGTATAAAAGAGCAATCAATCCTGGAAAGCAACATCAATAACATACATACCCAGGTAAGGAGTCACATACCCCGTGTCTTCAAAAACAAGAAAGTTCCTCTATTACAATCCAACGTGTTCATATGTACCTGCTACTAGTAGTATGTACTAAAAAGTGACAGCGCTCGGGCACTACTACTATTGCTAAGTGCCGGTTAACCTATCCGTACCAGGAACAAATCCGTTGTATGGAAGAGTACAAGAAAAAAAAAAAAAAAAAAAGGAAAAAACTCACAGTCCACCTAGGTACAAAGATCCAATAGGTGATTGAAGTACCCACTCAACCACAATTCCTCCCTAAAGCAGACTCCAGCATCCATCACCGTCGTACCCAATAACGCCTCAGTAAGACCGCGACCCAGCCACGGAATACCATCAACCACAGTGGAGCAGTCAACAGCACACTTGAGTGTCTTTAAATCTCTCACGGTCTAAGACAGGAAACAGGGAAAACTGTCCGGCCCTCCAACAAGGTGCGTGACCATGGTACTGGATGTGCATGGAGCACCAAGGAATTCGATGGGAATACATCCCATCATCTACAATTTCACCAAAGAGAAACAATAATAAAATAAGAATAGAGAAAAGAAGAGGGGAAAAAAAAAAAGTCTCTGAGACATTGGGAACCACTCAGGTACTGTACGGTATAGAAAAGTATGTGCCTGGGCCGAAGTGGTCTTGTTTGCCTCCCACATGGGCGAAGACAACGCCACCCTGCGGGGAATCTAACGGCGACTCAAACCCATTCATCTTGCTTTCCGGCCAAGTCGTTGTACTCAGCTAGTAACGATGCGAGTCATTTAGAATTCACAGTACGTACCACTGTCTGTCTCATTGTTGGGTTGGATATTACGGGATCCATGTGGCTGAGACTCATAGATAGAAATAATAAAATAGTTGGATGGATTGGCTGCCAAGTCTTATGTTTGAAATTTGTTGGTGATACCTACTAGGGTACCTGCTGTACTCTGTACGGAGTAGGCCTTGCTTTCTTTTTGTCGTTTTTCTTTGCCCAGTCACACTGAGGATCTGACATATCAGCTTACTTAGGTTATCTTATCTTATCTCATTACTTGCGTAGTAGTATTCTCATCCGAGACAGGAATAGAAGTCAAGGAAGCAAAAAGAAACCCCATAGTCCTCACTCCACCCCCCTTACCTTACCCTAGTACGGAGTACACACCTCCTCATAACGACATTCCTCACAATAACTGCCTAATATGCACGAGGACATCAGCAGTTTGCCAAGGAAGCAAGGGAGCGAGGACACATTCGACCATCGAGACCTAAAACACCTTAAAAAGTGGTCCGTTCTCCAGCCCAATATCCACCACAGAAACGACTGGATGGGAGCTCATTGAAAAGAGTAACTTGGCCGGAACGATTAATAAACTCCGTCAAGTAACGTGGTAAACTAAGGTAGTAGTCAATGTTTCTCTATACATGGCGTCCGGGGCTTATTACGAGCAGTTATTCCCCCGCTTTTTTTAACACCCCGCACTTTCGGAATGGCGATGAATTTTCTATTCTATTATCTTTTTTGTTTTTGTTTTTGTTTTTGTTTTTCGTTTCGTTCTGTTTTGTATTGTTCCATTGTGGAAATTGGGGGAAGGACGTTTCATTCCGCGTACGACAGTTAGGTTGGCTGCATGTGTAACTAACTTTTAACTTTGGGGGTTGGTGACATGGGTCAACATGAGTGGTTGGGCCTCGCGGCTTACACAGACCCTGGTCCATATACAAGAGAATGAATGCTCTACCGGTGTACTTGTAACCTACGGAGTACTCCGTTTGCAATTGTGGCTTTACATGGAATCGTTGCAGATTGGAGGGATTTTATCCGCTTCATATCTAGCCAAGTAAAACTCAATTCTGATATGGGGGTATCTCAGCCTCCTTTTTGCCTCTATAGTTAATTTCTTCACTATGCTCTTGCTGTCTCTCTTTGTATTCTTCTTCTCTCTGTATTGTTGCTTGTTTGTAGCGGATGGTCTCCACCGTATCATCCATGTACTTCATCTTTCCAAGACATCATGTATCATGCAGCCTCCCGGGCTCCTGCCTCTATCATGTCTGGTCATAAGAGCTATCACATTCAAATCATTGACACGCTTTCCGTCATGTATATTAGCCGATGGCTTAAAAGCATACGAGAAAAAGTAGAGACGAATGGAAAGTAAATGATCGCCGTGCTCTCGAAGAACACCCTCATATATAATCTTTTGAGGTTTCCCTCCATGTTCATGGCCAAATCGCATGCCACGTATCATGCGTGGCCCTTAGGTATCAAAATGGTTCTATTCGCTGTCAGTCATCCATGGATGCTCTATAACCTCGGTGATGGTGAGACGGTTGTCGACGTCTCGGTCGAGCATCCGCCTGATCAAGTCAATGCAGTCCTCCGAAAACGGCAGGAATGGGATTCGAAGCGGGTGGTCCAGAATCTCATCGACGTTATAGAATGGGTTTTCTTTGTAAACAATTGTGTAAAGAAGAATACCAAGAGCCCAGATATCTTGCTCTTTACCTCGGTAGGATTTGCCTTGTAGGACTTCCGGCGCCGCATAGTCTGCTAAGATCAGCATAATTTTTGCGGGAGAACCCATTGAGAGTGACTCACCAATCGTTCCCACAAAGACATCAAACGGCCCATTTTTAATGTAAGCGGCACTTCCGAAATCGATCAGCTTGATCCTGCCTTCCCCATCGAGAATCACATTTTCATCCTTGATGTCACGGTGAACGACCAAGGCTTTCGTGTGAAGGTGGTGGATAGCATCGACAACCTGCCGGAAGATGTTTCTGCACTCGGATTCGTCCATGTTCGCTTTCAATTCTATGTAGTCAAAGAGATCCATACCAGGGAGCCCATGTGGCATCATCTCGATATAATAATTGATATCATCCTCGAAAAACCCTTCCATTTCCACAATATTGGGGTGTTTGAAACCATCCCGCCGAAGGTAATCCAGGACGTGGATTTCTAGCGGGACCGTACCTAGGCGGCGGTCGCGAGTCCAAGTATCCACAAGAATCCTCTTCTTCGTGACATACTTTAATACCACCTTCTTGGTGGCATTTTTCTTCAGACGGGCAAGTTTCACTTCCCCATATGCCCCTTGGCCCATCTCTTCAATAATCACATAGTCGGTAATTGTCCTTTTCTTGGGAGGCTCCTTGGCGTTCACAGGCTTTACCTCTGGTACAGGCTGGACAGGTTTGTCAGTGAGCGGTTCTGATGCCGCCTCACTAAGCTGCTGGCTCAATGTCGACGTCGGTATTCGGGTCTCCACGGACGTCTGCTCCGTGTTCAAGGGTGATAAATAGGGAGTCTTTGCCGACCGTAGGCTGGATGCCGGAACAACTGAGGGGCTTCTCACTCGAGGGGGCTCGGCCTGGGGTGGAGAAGAGAGACCCGCGGCATGGATCTGCCTCGAGTACGTGACCCATAGTGCATAAACTAATTCAGCTACGGCGAAAGTGTCATCATTCTCGGAGTCGGCATCGCCGTCGTTAGACGGACTTTGCTTGTCCTGCTTTGGGAATATCGTTCCGCTCTTGACCACGCGCAGCTGAACATCAACAGTAATCGTTGAGCCATCACGATGATTGGCAGTGAGGCCATTAGGTTCGAGAAAGACTGAGGCAACGTTGGCTTTCCCTTCCCGAAGGATTGACAGGGTTCGTGCCCTTCGGAAGCTAGGTTCAGGGATCACAATTCCATCCTCTAGAGATACATTCTCCTCCTCAGTAAGCACGTTCAAGTACTCATCAAACCCGGGGATCAGCTCGTTAACATGTAGTCCCTCCGGTCGCTCATGGCCAAATAAGGCTGCAGAAAAAGCTGAGTTCGAACTGATCACTTTCAGCGTCGACGATGCGAGCACCATCATGCCGGCAACATGTGGAAAGCTTGATATCCGCAAACTATTCGAGCTTGTGTCTTTTGCAACTGTGACTGGGAAACAAGTCCCCGCAGTGGTCTGCGCAGCGAAATGCTTTAACTCACAAAGCTTCGCCAAACCTTGATCAACCGAGCCTTCTAAACACTCTTTAGGAAGACGGGGAAGAATGTCCGTGATCGGTTTGCCGAGCATGACCACGTCCCGGCCCCAGAATCTGTCGGTATCCCCATCGGTCTCTGTAATATTCCAGGACTTGTCGCAACGGATGTAAGCGACATCCTCTTGAATATCCTCAATTACCCAGATTAAGCCACCTCGCTTCTCCATAACCCAGACACTTGCAGAACCTCTTGCTCCATTCCGCTTCAGGATCGGAACCACATCTCCGCACAGTAGTACCCCGCGTGACTTGGTAGATGGATGATTGAGAGGCTGCGGCATACGTTTACTGGATCCATAGCCATCGTCAGTTTGTGCCCTTCTTGCTCGAGAAGGCGGTTTACTAAGAAGCTGAGCTGTAACGCCATTTCCCATCCCCATAGATTTGGGATTAACCGGCGTCATGCGGGGTCTCTCTGGAAGCTTGGCCGCAACATCAGTAGAGGGATCCCGTAGCTTAGATTCTAGCCACTGTCTCCGGTCTTCCTGTACGACTTCAAGGATACTTAACTTGCGGAGTTCCGCTTGTGTCACACCAAATATCAGACATGACAAATCATTGGCTGCCAATATGGTCCATGGGGCCCGAGACTCGGTCCTAAAAACGGCCTGTGAAACTGGTGTCCATTTGCTACTATGGGTGTGTAAGACAGGTATCGGGAGGCCAAATCCGAAAGTGGTGCTGGTCGGGGAGAAGGGCTCCGTGGCAGAAAATGGTTGTGCTAGAGTTTCCATCAGCTTGCCCTGAAGGGTACCAGAGCTAACATCCGTGTATGTACGTTTTAAGCTTACGCGCCTGGATGAGGGAGTAGACCTCCTCCCTCTCCGTTGAGTCGACACATGGGGACTGGCTAAGTCGCTCACGGAATCCGCCTGTTCCGTCTTCGGTGCACACCCGTGAGGTAGTTCCTTGATCTCAGCCATCGGACGCTGAGATTCGGAGAAAGCTTTCTCGAAGACATCACCTGTGTCCATGACCGCAGGGCCAGTCATAGGGCCGCGTGAGTAGTTATATCGGTCCTCCCTTCCCAAGACATTCGCCTTTGACAACAGGTCCACGACGCTTTGAACTTCTGCATCACCACTTATGCGAGCCTGCGCATTCACAATTCCGGGACTGTTCGCAGCCCATCCAAAGCGGTCGCGCATGAAGTCTATGGATCTTTTCAGTATGTTCTGACGGCTTTGTAGTAGCTCCTCTGATTGTTGGGAAAATGAGAATGAGTGTAAGGATTCACAAGGGAATCGATGGAGATCCTCTAGGGTATCAGCGTCATTCAACGAGATTCGCGTGGAATATGTCCGTGAGGTTGACCGAGAGCGAGGTGAGGGTGAGTGGCTTCGGGATGTGACAGGAATCAACGATGAAGTCGACATGTTCGGAAGGGTCAAGACTCGTGAGGGTTGGCGGATACGATCCAGGCCCGACGGGCCCAGTCCATGTTCATGTTCAATCAGGGGTGACCTGCAGGGGAAGAATTTTTCTTAGTGTCTCTTGTATTGCTGCAATTGCATCCGGTTCTGGTCAACGCAAGGAGGTGTTTCCCGTCCTTCATCCACGTACCTTGAAAGGTGGTCATAGGACGAAAGGGTTTCCACTGAGCCTCTCATTGAATCATTTGTACGGCCCGGATCAAGTCCCACGAAAGGATCGATCTCCGGCGACTCTGAAAGGGGACCCAGAGGGGACGATAACGGACTTGGTTCGCCTATTCACCAAATACAGTCAGCCGAGTGACTCTCAAACTTCTTTCCGTTTCTTCACTATCTCAGAAGAAGACAGAGGGGGGAGGGGAAGAAAAGAAAAGAAAAACATGAAAAATGAAAAAAAAGAAAAGGATCCCTGCGGAGCAACTGGACTGGAGAGATACAGAAATGAAGCAGTTTCAGCGGGCATCATGATACGGTCGCTTATTCCTTTCAGTTCTGTTCGTCTCTCTCCCTTTCGCTGCTTGTGGCCTGTATTTACCTCCAGCATTTCATCCCTTCTCAATGCAGTAAACCGTTGATCGACAGCTGCTACCAAACACAACCGATCCATTTCTCACCACCGACAACGTCCCCATTTTTCGAGACCAAACAGCCACAACGCACGATTAGACTATGCAGGAAGGAAAGAGAAACAGGAGTAGTAAATAGATTGAGAAAAAAAGAAGAGGTCCGACTAACCATCGGGATTATAGGAAGCTGACCCCATAGTTTCCCCAACAGGTAACAATAAAGCGACCAGAATCGGTCGGGCCGATTGAACTCGGGCGGCTTAAAGACCGCGCAAATCTCGAGTATAAGAAGAGGACTAGTAGTAATGTGAAAAAGAGGGTTTGCGATATATACTGCTACATGGAATGGTAAAGCACGACAACCACAAGTAGTTGGTTTTAGCGGGATGTAGGAGGATAATCCTTGCTCTCTTGTTTTTTCCCTTTTTTGCTTTTGGGCGGGTTTGTTGGGTTTATTAAGAAATCGGCGCACTGGGACTCAAGAAAATGTTACCGCGATCGATGCAAAGATCAACCCACTTTGCTTAATTGTGACTCTTTTCGTGACTCTCCCGGAGGCGAGAATGAGCCGGTCAGCCGCCGAGGAGAGAAGGAGAGGAGTTCCAAAGAAGTGTCAGCGGGACAAGGAAAAGGAGAAAGAAGAGAGGGCAGCTGCCTGGTGAGGTCACAGGTACCATCCGGAGTGCGGTTCGCGAAGGAGACGAAGCATGCGGGCACAACTAAGTAGTTAGTTTAGGGAGTAAGTAGTTAAGTACGTACGACTCCCGTCGTATGTGGTTCGACAATTGTTCGCGCTCGGTTTGAGAGAGAAGAAAAAGGAAGACAATTGGAGACTACCGCTTTTTCTGTTTTTCTTTCTTTCTTTTTTTCCCCTCTCTCCTTTTTTGTTTATATATACTGTGTATTTTTTTTAATAAAAATAAAGAATTGTGGAGGTGAACGTGAACGAGTAAAAGTAAAAAAAAAAAAAATAAAGTGTTTTTATGGGGTTGGAAATTTAAGCCACAATAACATACAACCAATGAACCAACGGCGAGGGACAAATCGAGACGGTGAGCAGACGAAGGAAAGTGTTTGGAAGCACAGAAGAGACTAGTTGAGAATAGTGAGGGGAAAGACTGGTGGGGAAAAAAGAAGGGAGGTTCGACGGTCTGTTCTTCCGATTCTTTGGGGGCTGTCTTTTCGTCGTTCTCTTTTTGGACCTTCTTCTTTGATCTGTACAATTATATAGATTATATGTAAAAAAAATAAAAAATAAAATTTCAAAAGAAGGAAAGCCTGGGGTAAACAAGAAAAGTGATCCAATGCAGTTGAAGGAGGAGAGAATTGAGGAGAAAAGCAAAGGGAGCATTCGGGAATGGGAAATAGACGAAGAAATAAATGAATGCTACTCCGTAGAGAAATCTAATTTGACTGTAAAATATTTCCTTTTTTTTCAAACCCATTTCTGTTGTAACCCAACCTGATGGACTGACTCACTGTACGGAGTTAATGCCTAAGGGAACAGAAACCCTGGTCAGCGTAGTAATCCGAAATGGTGATGTAATTTTGCAGATAACTTGAAGACGAATTCAGATCACTAGTACTAGTACTCTTGAGCTATTGTTTGGCATCAATTGCTGGGTAACTTCACAATTTATTGAGCCCCTCCTCGGCTTGAACGACCATGTCCTTCCCTTTCATGGCGGATCCGAGAACTAACGAAACTCGGTCTCGTGGAAGATCTTCGCAGTCTCATAGGTGGATCGAAATCTTGGGACGGATGGAGTAGGGAACGAACCATAGCCCATTAGAACCACGGCGCAGATCAGCCATTATACTGAGTGGGTGGCCCATTGGAAAGTTCATATCACTGTCTTTTACTGGACGCGATATAGTTCCTTCGGACGGAAAAGGAAAAAGAGGAAAAGGAGTGAGAGATAGAGAAAAGGTCCTTGGACGCGAACCAGTCATTAGTGTATCGTCCCTTACCGCGGACATCTCTGGTGGCATGCAACCAACATTCTCTTCGCTGCCTACAATGATAAAGCGAAGCTGGGCGTTGGTAACTTGACCTTTGATAATGATTTCATACGTCAACGGTAGTACAATACAAGTGCATAATTCAAGGTCGATGCGGAGGTGGCAAAGATAGCGTTATATAACCTTCCGCAGATTGCGCATGAGGAATACTTGAGTAGACCGTACAAAGCGGCCAATCGTCGATTCTTATTTGTTCAGCAACATCCCCTCTACATTTATGACGACATAGGTGGGGTACTTTGCTCTTCTTCGGATAAAGGTTAGGTTGGGAAGTAGTAACGTGCGCCTAATGCAATGAACCACTAGTCGGGTATATCGGGTTAACAAGGGAAGAGGGGTGGAATGAGAAGCAGGCTTTACGAGGAAGAAAAAAGAAAGACGCCATCACCGGTAGCCTATTGCCTGCTCTTTGGACCTCGAAGGCTCCGCAAGGCCAAGTCATTAGGTTCGGCATACGGTCTTTGTTCTTCATCTCCGTTGCCGAACAGAGCATTCGGTTTAGTGCCGTGCCGAGTTTGTTCGGGCGGCACGGATGCCGGGCTAACAAAACTAGAGATATGCCGGCTGCCACCAAGCATCCAAGAAAATTCAGACTCAGCCAATGACGGGCGTGTTGCCGGTCGTAGTGGCAGTGACGTGGGAATTCGAGCTCGGTCTTTTGGTTCGCCTTCCACTGAAGAGCTGGACGATGTCCCAGACTCTCCGACCCTGCTGGTAACCGACGGAGAGCGTTCGGGTTTGTAACCTCCCACATCCGACTGATTAGGGATCTTCGCAGAACTCGTATCGCCAGCTATGCTTGGGGATCGGTTTGCGGAGTGGAGAGGCGCAGAAGGGCTCTCAAGGCAGGTCTGGACTGATTGAACCTTGGCGAGACCTTGTTTCATGGCGTCTGCTGTAGCATGGTCAAGTCCTTCTGCTTTCAACATGCGGGAGCGGATATCATTCAACGCCTGGCTCAATGACCGCGCTAGCATCCTATTGCGTTCCTCCAACTCTTGGACCTTGGTTTTCAACTGAGCAACGGTATCAGATTCTTGAACCCACCGTGCATCGGAAGTACGGTTCAAGGGAGAATCTCTAGGTCTCATCATTCGGGGATTGTGTTCTGACTGGATCGTCTGCATGTTCCTTTTCGCCTCACTCACCGCGCCTCGGACTGCCTTGGTTACTCCCCAAGATTCCGTCCGTCGCTGAATGCCTTCGGACACATCTTGGAAAAGCGCCTCAAGGCTCTTGGGACTGTTCCTTGCAGGTGATCCGGAAGGCGAGCTGGCCTCGCTCATGTTCCTTGTTTCGCCGCGCGGGTGGAATTTTCTCCCGGAGACACGCCTCGGGCCTGGTTGACTAGTACGTTTCAATGAGTCAGGAGGCTTGCCGGAATATTTCGAGATAATAAAAGTCCCTCTATCGGACGTTGGATTCTGTTCTAGATATAAGCCATCTAGCACAAAGCTGTACGGCTCGTGGGGGTAGGGAGAGGGATAGCGAAGCAACATGGTCAACGCAGTCGAAGAATCAGCGTCCAGTACTAAGTAAAGTCAGCCAGAAAATTATAGAAGACAATATTTAGCCAACGAACATTGCCAGCGGATCCTTAGCAGCATCGCAACGCACACAAACTCGACGAGCTCTTGCCTTAAACCCTCAGAAAAGAGAAAATCCCAGAGTATAAGAACGTCTTGGAACTGGAACTCGCGACCAAATAAAAGACGCATCCAACGTCTTCTCGAACCAGTTAGCATCGAGATTCACTAATATATGGAGCTTTACCCACGTAAGGAATATCTGTGGCAGAATTTCCAGTGCCTGAAGATGATCCGCTAACTCTAAGTCCGTGGTCGTTAATAGATCATTATGGATATGTTCGCATTGGTTGACAATCGGTACAACGTCCATCTGGCCGCTTGTGGATCGTTGTCTATTATGCTCATAGTATACTCGGGCAGTTTGCATAACCGAACAGAAAAGTGTAAAAGAGTCATGCTCGACATAGTTGGCATCAAGGAGCTGTAACATTGAGCTATCATCTTCTTCTGTATGGTCAGACCCCTCCCGGGAGGTTGCTCCAATTGAATCTCTGTCTATAACCCATAGGATGGGCGCCAACAGCTCATGCATTCCTTGGCGATAACCTAGGTCTGGGTTGAGTTTCGCATATATAAAGAGAATATCGGTCATTTTCGTCTTGGTCGCTGGCTCCCGGAAGAAGAAATTTTCCTGCAAGCATCGGTCCACATCTTGGGATATATCTGCTCTCATCTGCTCGTCCTGTCGTAGTGTTTGCCAAGGAGACTATACTTGCGCTCGTCAGAGATACAAGTCCTATTACGCTGTACCAGTCGACTCGAGCTGACATACCTCTTCATCATCCGCCAGTGGATCCACGGTCGACTGTAAATCATCGGGATGCTCGATATATTTCATGAAATGGGCTTTTAGCGCCCCATAGGCGCTTCGGGATTCGGATATCTTTTGCGGCCATTGTGTGCGATCGAGGTTGTCGAAGTGTAGGAATGCCTACGTCTGGGTAAGCACATTCGAGAGACATAATCCGAGTGGCAGAATCGCATACCTTCCAACAGATTGATCTTAGCCCGTCGTTGCACAGCTTCTCTCCTTGCTCTGATCTAAGTGTCGCTCGGAGGTCGGAGGTGTTGCTATTGTCGCGGAAGAGGACACTCCATCGCTGTCTAAGAAGAAAAGAAGTTGTCAGAAATACTAAGAAATATAGGAACCGGTAGCATACGGTTTTACCTTTTTTCCTCAATACTCCTCATTTCCCCATGTGTTGATTTGACAGTAGGCGTCATTGAATCGTGGGGTTGGGTTAATGGCGGGAAAGACGCGAAGACTGGGTGACATGTCTTGGCATCCCCGAACCACCGAGCACCCTCCTCATCACCTTCACGACCGGACTGTTTCAGCAGCTTTCCTTGGGGCTAGCTTAAGCAAAAAGCAACGTGTAGTACGCCACGAGTAACTCGCATCACCCAGAAATTCCCACTTTAGGGTGAGCAGTGAGGATCAGGTGATCGGGTCACCTGTCCGTATCTTCTGTACCCTCTTTAACCAGGTTAACTACAACGCATCAGCATCAACAGTATGAAGCATCATTATCCTGAGTAATCCTTTGTACCATTTGAACCATAGGCCTCAGGCATATCATACAAGGTTGCTGCCTAACGGCCGCTATATTTAATTATAGAATCTTCATTTGCATTTTGTATTCCCAACATCTTGTTCAGTACTAGTATATTCGCGATGGATGGGCTTCCTGGTGAGATTTAGCTAAAAGTCTTCAGCAACCCAATATTGGTCTACTCCCCGAAGCGAACAGCCAATGGTTTCACTGTGGTATTCCGCTTGTATAGCTAGAAGTTTTACTGTTCTATCCCTCTTCCATACCCAAAGGTCGAAGAAGAATATACTGCTGCGATTATAAAACTTGATCTCTCAGAGATTGATGGAGCACAGCAGTTGGAGGGTTTGGTCATTTTACCATTCTCCAGGCTGAAGCATCTGATTATCAGATCAGATCATTCGACCCATCGTCTGAAGCCAGAAATATTTCTTATTGTCTTTAATTATACACCATATAGTCACTGATTTGTCACTTCATGGACCTTTGGTTGGAACTTTGCTTGACCACGATACCCATGATTACCTAGCCAATCGTGACAATTTGAAACAGCTTTCTCTCAGTCTGACTATCCCGAGAAACTTAATGAAGGATATCAGAGCTTCCAAGCCTTCCCTGTCGGTTCGAAAGTCGACTATCACAGTTATGAAATATTGAAAAATATCGAATAAAAGATTATATTTTTTTTTGTTTACCGAAGTTTGTAAGTCCTGCTGTTTAGTAAAATGAAGATAGACTAAGACCTTGTATAGAAACAGATTGAAGCTACCTCAATGCTGCCTTTAGCATCCTGTGAAAATGGGCAGGGGCTGAATCCGGGAGAACGTTGAATTGATATACTAATGATTCGTGATAGTTGTAGGATAGGCCAGGGTGTGATTATTGCTCGGTAACCGATCGGTATTAAATTAATACGATTTATGACAGATGATCATCCGTCCGCCGCGGAAGTTGACCCCACAAAGAAACCTGCCCACCAACTTCGCGAAAGAAATCGTTTCACTCCCAACATCAATGTCAGCGGACCTGTTCGCGGAATTTGGATTCGGGGCCCCAGCTAATCAGTCCTCAGGGACTACAGCCCTGCAGGGGGCCCGATCTGTCGGTGCAACATCTTCTCTAATCCCTGAAATAGAAATATTCGACAATGCTCCTGCCACAGATGTATCTACGTCACACCCCATTCAACCTCGGGCGTCATCGGCCCATCAAAATACATCGGGGAAGTCTATTGTATCACATTCGATACACTACGGCAACGATAGTAATGTTCTATTTGATGCCACCTTGGAAGACCCTCCCGACGACAACAGTGAAGACTGGGGGGAATTCGAATCCGCGGATACTCCGGCTTGTCAAACCGCACCAGCAGTTCTTAGTCACACTGAAGGAAATGCTTCACGTCGTTCCATGAAGGGTCCAAACGAGCCGAAAAAGCTTGCAGTCTCGCCCAGTCATCTTGATTTGCTAGACTCGTTATCAATAGAAGATAAATCACCACAAAGACATTCTCAAGCCTCCAGCACACTTGTTAATAAAAGCTTGAGTCATAAAAACAGCAATATTACATCTGCAGCTTCTGGCGTAGCTGAAGATGAAGATGCTTTTGATGACTGGGGTGACTTCGTAGACGGCCCGCCTACGGAACCCCCCAAGAGTGTCGGGTGCCAAAGACTTGCTTCTGCAAAGGTACCAAACCAGAAAGCAAAGGCCGCAACCTATCTAGAGAGGAAGACTTCTCCAACGTTCAGCATATCAAGTAATGCTGTCTCTCCAGCTCAGATCCGTCCAACGAATATACCTCCACCATCTGTTCTGTTGGAATTATTTCCTCGACTTTTTGATCAACTCCGGAAGGAGGCTACTGAAGCTAGGAAAAACGTCCAAGAAAAGCAAAATATTGAGACTGTCGCCCTGCTGATTCTTTGCACTCTGAAAGCAGCAGCTCGAGTTGTTGCGGGCCGCACATTGCGATGGAAAAGGGATAGCATCCTGAGTCAGAGCATGAGGATCGGCCCAGCACGCGCAGGGAAGCCAGGAGGGATGAAACTCAATACGGTCAATAAAAACGAGGACATCAAGGAACAACAAGAAGCTGTTGACGTGATTTCCATGTGGCGTGACCGGACCGCCCTTTTCAATTCTGTGATCCAGGCATCTGGCAGGCGTCCAATTCATGCTATCCCTACCAACATCCGAGCGATGACTGCCACTCCTGAACAAGGAGCTTTAAAAGCTTCCCATGCTTGTGCCCTTTGCGGACTGAAAAGAGAGGAACGGCTACCCAAGATTGATGACCAGGTAGAGGATAGCTTCGGGGAGTGGTGGACCGACCATTGGGGCCATACTGAGTGTAGACAATTCTGGGAGACCAACGTTGCTTTACTTGGTCAACGATGAACCTCTTCTGCAGCAAACTGATCCTTGGCCATATCTACGAGTTTTAAGCTATCGGATTATAGAGCTACAAGGGCTTCACCCGCTCTACGCCCCACTCCAGTACGGTGAATTACTTACAACCTGTGGCGATAGAATGTTGCCAGAAGATCCGAGAACTGCCAGGTACACCTGCTTACGACTAGCACTAATATTGACTCAGCCAATGGCCGTAGCCCAGAGAATCAGTAATGTTCATGCAGGATCAAGCGCCTGCAGCTTCGATCCGTGATGATGCCAGTGATGACGATGATTGTAATTGCCCCGTACACTAGACCCGTTGCGGTTAAACCAATACATGGTAGTAACATGAGTGAGTACTAAGGTTAAGTCAACCTGCGGGTCCTCGATAACAAATGATAAGACAAATCAAGTCATTTGGACAACTCACAATACCGAGTCCAGACACTACTAGTAGCCAGTTAACGTTTTAACTAATTAAAATCTTCTGTCGGGTTTCACTTGGGGAGGAGTTCCATGGAATTATTGCATTTCAATTGGTCCGATGCGGGGGTTGTGGTTTAGCTCCACCATCTACCCATGCCTTGATCGGTTCATTCCTGTACTCCGTAATTTTACACTGGGGACCTGAGGCAGCTGCCCGATGGTCAGCCTACGGAGTACGGCTCCGGACAACCACCGATTTCATTGTCTACCTGACTAGTGATACATTCCAACTGCTGGTCTCTTGCCCCCCTTTAACTATCACCCGACCGCTCCTTATCTTCCTTCCCTACCTTGGTGTCTCATCGTCTGAGGGTAAAATTAGATTCACTGCTGTGAGCTGGCGTCATTCTTCAATCTTACTCCGTACGTCTTGCCGTGGGTTACAAGTTCCCCACTTCCTTCTCAGACAGACGATCCCGCTGCTACCTTGAAGACTTCTTGCGTACTTTCCTATCGAGCTTATCTCAACTACCACTAAACTTAGAAGGACAGAAGAGTTCAACCCCTCTTGTTGGTCCATCGGTTCCCGACACTGTTTCGAACTTCCAAACTTGGGCCTTGTCTCAAATCACACCGTCATTGAAGTTACGGCCAGGTCGGGTTCCCCTTGCAAAGGAAATCCAATCCCAGGCAAGGCGGGGAACTCAAGAAGAAGACATCATTCATTGATCTTGTTCTACTCCCTTCTGCCACATCTTATCTTCATAATAGACCAAATCCGATTACCCACCTTTGTCTTGTCACGCTCACATTCCAGAACGGATACCTAGCTGCCGGAAGTGGGAAAGAGGAGCTAAAGCAGATCATAATGGGTCTCGCGTATAACGTCTACCTCACTTCCAATAAAATCTTTGGATGCAAGCAGTGCAAGACGCATCTTGCGGATTATGACGATATCATCAGCAGAGTGGGTGCTCGTCCTCCCTATCCCCAAATACAAGAGAGATGTACTGACTAAAAGACCTTCCCGCAGAACTTCCGTGGCCAGCACGGCAAAGCGTATCTATTCAACAACGTCGTCAATATCACACAATCCGAAGCGGTGGAGCGTAGCATGACCACCGGGAGGCATATCGTTCGAGACATCGCTTGCAGACAATGCAGGGAAACGGTAGGGTGGAAGTACGATAAGGCGTATGAGACCAGTGAGAAGTACAAGGAGGGCAAGTTCATCCTGGAAGAAGAGCTTCTGTGTGTGGTGTGCTAAGGTGCCTCGTCTTCATGAACGCGGGCAGGCGCCCTGTCTAGAGAGGCGTACGGTAATATGATGGGCCCAGTTACTGTTCGGCTTCCAGAGAAGGACTTGCAGCAATACTTGCAAAGACTGATTCATACAGTGAGCGTTTCCAATCCTGGCGTAAGGCAAAGGCGTTGAATGGTGCACTATGTTTTGCTTTGACCAACTTTGAGAACCGGGTTTCGCAGCACACCAGTTTTGGCGTATTCGAGGTTGTTCGGCTTCAATCGATACTCAACATTCTGTATCATTCGTGCTTCAATTCAAGAGCCTGTGAAATCTGCAACCGTCATCTCATTCTCCTGGGTCATGAGGCTAGAATGATATGTAACAGAATAACCCAGCTTTCCCCCCTTCCAGAAGGGTCTCATGTCTCTCCTAGCTATTAGACATGTAGTGCCATTTTTTGGCCAAGGCCAATAGTTTTCAGATGTTTGAAATTTTGCTGATGGAAGTGTTGGGGGTGACAGCCCCACAGTTATCATAAATCGAGGGGCAAAGAAAATGCAGCGGCCGTTTATCGGATGTGGGGGTCTTCGTTTCTCCAAAACGGCACATTTTACGTACTTCGATTCAATGACCCGATTCTGCTAAGAAGAAAATACCTTGTATACACCTTATTCCATAACCTAAATCATTTAACAAAATGACCACGGAAAACAAGATGCGCGCGGTAGTGTTTCACAGCCCTTATAAAGTGGCCGTTGAAGAACGACCAATTCCCAAAATCCAAGATTCGGGAGATATTGTCGTCAAAGTAACATACACTGCGCTTTGTGGAAGGTAGGGCAATAATGGCATACCAATTTCCCTGTGTTACGCTTTGGACAAACGGCTGCTAACTATTGCAGTGACCTCCACACATTTCGTGGAATAGAACCCGCCGGTACGGGGTTTGTTATGGGCCATGAAGTTACGGGTGAGGCTGTTGAGGTCGGGAATGGCGTTAAATCTATCCAGAAGGGTGATATTGTCGTGAGTGCTTTTACGACTTCTTGGTAAGTAATCACTACATGCTTTTCAGGGGAGTGATAGAGGTCTGCTTTAGGGGTGTTGAATGCTAGAAAGCTGTTCTGGCAGTCGGAAGTGTCTCTTCGGTGTACGCTAACTATCCTCATAGTGGCGAGTGTTTCTACTGCAAGCAAGGGTTCTCCTCTCGCTGTGAGAAGAGCGTGCTTTTCGGGTGTGATCATCTAGATGGAGCACAAGCCGAATACGTGAGTAACTTCATCATGAGCTTACAATCTGCGGAAGGTCTGACGGCAACGGTTCCCTGTTAGGTCCGCATCCCAAATGCAGACGGAACGGTGATGAAAGCTCCCGAAGGTGTCGAGGAAAAATACCTCGTGCTCATGGCAGACATCTTCCCGACAGGCTACTTTGCGGCCAGCAATGCCTTCAAGGGGTACACCCCGGAACAAATATCCGAGCAGACAGTTGTACTAATCGGCTGCGGCCCGGTCGGGCTCTGCGCACTGATCAATGCCCTGGAGTTCAAGCCTAAGCATCTCCTTGCTGTGGACTCTATTCCGTCAAGACTTGAGCTGGCAAGGTCCCTTGGGGCTGAGCCTTGGAACTTCCAGCAAGACCGAGAAGGTTTGGATAAGCGGGTGAAGGAACTGACGAATGGAAGGGGTGCGGATGCTGTGATTGAAGTAGTTGGGTTGAGCCCGGCACTGAGGACTGGCTTTGATCTGCTGCGTCCTTGGGGGACGATCAGTAGCGTTGGAGTCCACAACGGAGAAGTAAGGACTCCCGGACAGTGCAGCCTTACTCTATGGTGTCGTGCTATGCTAATTTGTCGTAGATCCCATGGGCTGGAAACGATGCATATGACAAGAACCTGAGAATCCAAATGGGTCGATGCCCCGTGAGGTCGGTATCTCCTCAAGCGTTGGAAGTCTTAAAAAAGAACCAACATAAATTAGGGTAGGTCTTTCGTTTTATTCTCTCTTTCTCTTGTTGTTGGTGAGGGTATGCATATCTAATAAAATGAGTGGAAATAGATTCATGGCGGACAAGATCATGCCGCTGTCTCAAGCTGTAGAAGGCTACGAGCTTTTTAATGCAATGAAAGTGCAGAAGGTAATTTTCAAAGCTGGAGAATAAGTGCGGACCCGATGAAGATATAAATGGACGAGAGTCTTGATGTTTTGAAGTTAACTGGGTTGATTTTATGTATAGGTAGGCAGAGGTGTAAATAGTGGAGCGGTCTAGATGTTGTTAGAATTAAGCATGAGATGAGTTTATGTACTTGGGTACGAGAGCTCTATCGACATCAATGTACTCTTCTTAATGGTATGGTTTGTTGGTTTGTTCGAAATGGAATTATTGGTGGGGTGTTTCAGTGGTGAACCAAGTTGTTTAGCAATGAATGGGAAGTAAATGGGTGAAGAGGGCATCCAAGGTTGGCGATACGTAACAAATTGAATTTCAACCGGAAAAAAAAAACACCACCAAAGGAGGAAGATTCAGCAAAGAATGGAAGACTGAGTGCATTAACTCAATCAATCGACCAAGAGTAAGTGGAAGAAGTCATGAAAAGTGTTTGTGCTCGCCGTTCGAAGAAAAAGAAAGACCCAACCAACCAGGAAAGTAAACTAAGCCCAAACTACTCGTTGCTTCCGCTTCTCTCTTTCTCTCACGCTCTCTTTTTCCCTTTCCTTCTCTTCTTCCTTTAATTCATCTCTCTTCCCTTCCCTTCCCCCCAATCTTCACTCTCCTCTTCAACCTTCACCTCTCTTCCGCTGCGTCTCCCTTCTTTCACCCCCTCCCTCTTCTTCTTCTTCTCCTCCTCCTCTTCTTTCTTCCGTTTCCTTTTACCGCCGCCTACCATCGTCCCTTGTCCGTAATTCCTCCACCTCTTTCTTCCCCCGCCCGCCGAAACCCCTCTGAAATCACAGTGGTTCATTTCCCCCCTCTCCGACCACTGACTGATCTTTATCCCCCCCCACCTCCTTCTCGGCTCCTTTGACCATCAAATACTCTATTTCCACGCAACCTCCATTCTTCTTGTGCGCCACCTCTCTCATCCTTGGGTAAGTAGCCGGTACATCTGTGCTTGTCTATCTCATCGCTCCGTCAATATATTACGTACATGTCTCTCTCACCCTTTGATTCAACTCCAACACTAAAAGCATGGATCTTGATCGCGCGACTTCTCTCCTCATCCATTGTTTAGGTTTGTCAGCTGACTGGCGAGAAGAAACTCCGTTAAAGATATCCTGATATCCTAATCATCGAAACTTTCTTCGTCTAACTGATCTCTTCGCTCCTTCGACATAATGGATTCCACCGAGCTTCACGATACCCAAGTTGTTGATGAGACTATGACTGATGCGGTCAACATGGTCGACGAGGGTGATATGGACATTACTCCGAAGACCGAAGAAGAATACGCCCAGTCGATGCTGACCCTCCGTGCGATCGTTTCGTCCAAGGAAGCCGGCGTTATCATCGGCAAGGCCGGTAAAAATGTTGCTGACCTGCGCGACGAAACCGGTGTCAAGGCCGGTGTGAGCAAGGTTGTTCCGAGCGTCCACGATCGAGTCCTGACAGTGACCGGTCCTCTGCAAGGCACCGCTAGGGCCTATGCTTTGGTAGCCAAGGGCTTGCTAGAAGGTGCCCCGCAAATGGGTATGGGTGGTATTGTATCAAACAATGGAACTCACCGTATGTGTATCTGACCTCATCAGTTTTCGTCGGAAATACCAACTAACATATGGCAGCGGTTCGCCTTCTCATTTCCCACAACCAAATGGGCACTATCATCGGACGGTCCGGCCTGAAAATCAAGCATATCCAGGATGCATCCGGTGTACGAATGGTCGCTCAGAAGGAAATGCTTCCCCAGTCTACCGAGCGGATTGTTGAAGTGCAGGGTACTCCGGAAGGCATCGAGAAGGCTGTCTGGGAGATTGGAAAATGCCTTATTGACGACTGGCAACGGGGCACTGGTACCATCCTGTACAACCCCGCTGTGCGTGCATCTGTTGGTACTACCGCAGTCAATCAAAACGTGGGCAATGGTTACAGCAGCCGCCCCTACAACCGTACCGGTAATGGTGCCGACTTTAGCGACCAGTCCGGTGGCTACGGCAGACGCTCCAACCCCGACACATCAAACCGTGGCTATCCCCTGGTCACCGAGGACGGCGAGGAAATCCAAACGCAAAACATCAGCATTCCTGCTGACATGGTGGGATGCATCATCGGTAGAGGAGGAAGCAAGATTACTGAGATCCGTAGAAGCTCTGGAGCGAGGATCTCGATCGCCAAGGCTCCTCACGATGATACCGGCGAGCGCATGTTCACCATCATGGGCAGTGCCCAGGCGAATGAGAAAGCCTTGTATCTTCTGTACGAGAACCTCGAAGCCGAGAAGACCCGCCGCAGCCAGCTCCCCCAGGAATAAATGCCTTACACCTATTGACTTATCTGAGAAACCCCATCCTATCATCCTCGAAGAAGCTCTTAGCCTCTCTCTCTTTGGGAGTTTCACAGCCACTTTTGTGTTCGCACATTCTCCTTTAATAATTTTGCTTCTTGTCGTTGTCTTTTTTGCTTTTTTCGTGTTTTTCGTATCGTGCAGCTTTCTTGGTTTACAAGAAGCAAGGGTTCGCTAGGACGGACTGCACACGCCTGTTTGATACCAACCCTTTACAACCTTGGTGATCGCCTTGTCTCAAAGGATTCGAGTTCAAAAGGCCGACGAGATAATATTCTTGATATGCCTTCCGACTCGTTTCCTTTAGTCCCGCCTTGTACTGCCGCTCCGTCTTCCCTCCCGAAAAAAGTGCTTCCCCACCCTTTCCTTACCTCCTATCTCTCGGCATCTAGTATTCACCGCATTGCTCCTCGATTTCTCCCACCTGAATCGCACTGTCTTCTTTCCGTCTAATTGAAATTATTATCTCGAGCAGCTTCTCAACACCGTTTACCTGACGCATCTATCTTGTGACCTATCCTGTTATTTCCTATAGCTCCTTGATTTCTCAATTGCGACAGACTCATCCGACATGTATATCCAGAAACTGAGTACCTCATCCATAGTGGATTCTGAGGCTGAAGAAAACAATCTGAGGCAAATCTTGTCTGAGATCATGACAGATGGCTGATAGTAGAGCAAAGATAATGACCTGTTCCTATAGCTAGTATACTCTAGATGTGAGAGCATTTTTCTAACGACCTCCGATCGTCACGGAATTTAAATGAATAAAGTGGAGAAAAAAACACCCAAAAAATCACAAGCAGTATGATCTATGATCTATAACCAATTCAATGACGTAGATTCCTGCAGATCAGATCTTACATACATAAAGGCGACATCTCTACACCCATTCGGGGAAAGCACAATTAGGAAACCCAATAATTCTGTAGATCTTTACATGACCTAACCCTACCTCCAATCACAGCTCGCAGAAGCACACGACAGTCAACCTCGGGCATATGAGAAAATATAATAAGAAAAAAAAATACATAAGAATAAAAATAAAAGAGAGAGAATAGTAATATGAGATACGTGTATGCATAGGGAACGAATGTAAGAAATACACTAACCCCTACCTAAGTAAGCACTGTACATACATACCCCAGCTCTATCCCCAAGAAAAAGGTAAAGTAATCGAAACACCACACCCAAAAAAAAAAAAAAAAAAAAAAAGGAAAGTTTTTGTACATTAAAATCAGGAGATGAAAAAGAAAAAGAGGAAAGACACACGCCGAAATGAACAAACGTGTCCAGGTCGAAACCTTTGTACATGTACAAAATAAACAAACAGGATGTCATGAGGTTGAAAATAAGAATGGGCAGGCAAATGAGCAAGTAGTTTGTCCATATACGTTAGTCGCTCATGTAAGGGATAACAACTTAGCATGCTCTTTTCTTTTTCTTTTCTTTTTTTTCCTTCTTCTCATATAATGCGTTGGTGCGTATGTATGTGTGTGTGTGTGTGTGTGCGTGCGTGGCATGCATGCTTTGAATCAGATACAAGACAGAATTGCGCTCGTTAGGATGGATGTACACAGAGTTGCTTCGTATAATGCATGGGTGCGGCTGAGGGTCAAAATAAAAGGGACGCAGGAAGGCAAAAAATCGATTTAACAAATAAACTCCGGGTGATCCGTATCCAAATTCCAGGCATGAGTCGCTGCGTTAGATGAAGGGCGTAAGCTACGTTTGTTGTTGTTATTGTATTCCAGAGCAGAAAAAACCATGTGTAAACGATAAAGGGCGTAACGTTCAATCAATGTTGTCGTCGAAGGAATTTACAGCACCGTCAGAGATGGCCATGGGTCGTTGCCGGATGCCAAACCTCCGTGTGGTTCCAAAACTGTTCGTTCTCGGGCGCGATATGGGGGTATAGCTGGCTGCTAGTTTGTTTGATGGGGCGATGATTCTTGTTTGAGATGGATCCTGTCGAGGAGATATGGGCGCATCGTCGTTGGCTTTACTGGGGGTAGAAATCCCCGAAGGCAACCCATACCGACGAGACCCGGCTTGGATGTTTGAGCGAGATGTGGCCGGAGTCATCAAGGTTCTGCGGAGTGGAATTCCGGACTGCGAAGCAGTTGGCGTACGGGGTTGTGGCAACTGGGACTGTTGGGATTGCGCTGAGTATCTGGGAGTCTGGTCTTGCTGAGGCTGTGGTGCTTGAGAAGTAGGAAACCCCTGGGAAAATCGCTGGCGCGGAGGGGCACGATATGCGGAACTCTGGTTACTGATATCCGTCATGCTTCTTGATATTGATCGGCCATGAGGGCTTCGGTGCTCGGTAGGTTCATCCTCGGTTTGCAGTCTTTGAGCCCGTAAAGACGCGAGTCGGCTTAGTCGACTCGTGGGAAGTGAAGAACCAGGAGATTGCGCTTGTTTGGCATCGGATATTGTATCATTACTCCAGTTAACCTCTTTATTGTTTTCACCGGAGGTATTGCCGCTCGGATTTGCAAAACTGGACCGACGGCTTGCAGCACGAATACTCTGCCGACGGCTTAGCACTTCGGGTTCCTGGGCCGTACTGCGTCGATATGGTGTTGTTGGAGTCAAAGTTTCATCATCAGCGCCAATAGGCTGCTGCGCTGCCGTGTCTTCGTCAGGTTTGCTTGAGGCCTGCTGTCTCCGGAGTTGTTCATCCGACAATGCAAGACAAAGCTCGGTCAACCCGCGACAAACACTATCCGCCTTCCGTCTCGACAGTCTGTCGGACGGACCATACCCATTCACGACGGAGACGTTTCCAGACGGCGCTTTATTGGTACTCAAAGTGGTAGACAATGATATCGCATCTGTCGCGGTAGCTTCCAAGGCTGTGAATACTTCTTTATTCAAAACAGTTTTTGCTTTGGACAAAGCAGATTGTAAAAGGGGATGGACTGGGTTTGTGGGAGGAATAGAATCGGAACCAGGAGATGAGGTGCTGGTTTTGCGGCCGCGCTTTGGGGAAGAAGAAACGGTTGTCACCGTAGTTGTCGCAGTTCGTGGCCGTTCGGCAGAAGCGGATGAGATAGCCTCCTGCGAAGACGGGGGCAGCTTCCCGGTAAGTTCTAGTTTGCGAATCCGGGATTTAAGATCCTCAAGCTCATCCCAGACAGTAGAAGGTGCAGTGGTAGACAACGTCGACTCGGTCCCATCTTGTCGGGATCGATCGGGCTCGGCTCGGGCACGTTCTGTGACCTCAGAACTGGACGGCTGCCGACTGCTTCGGATCGTCGATAACGTTGAATGACGATACGTTCTAGGATCCGGTAATGAGCCTCGTCTCTCGATGGACGTTTTCTCGGGCGAATCATCTGGGCTGATCTGGCTTAGTCTACTTCTCGGTACACCAATAGTGGACTTGGAGCTGGAAATGAAGCCGGAATGAAGCGAACGAGAATGATCGTCTAGTGGATGAGCAGAAGCCGAGTACGAGTACGCTAAAGAACTGCGTGGCTGGGATGGAGATCCGTTATTGGAATGCAAGGGGCTGTCGTAGGTATTCAACCGAAGTTGATCGGGGGAAGACGTTTGCTCGTTGGGGCGGGAAGTTGAAGAGCGAAGACCACTACCGGACATCCTCATTCGCGACTGTAACGTTTTCAACCTTCTCATCAGTTCACGGTCGAAAAATTATTCAAACATATGGCGAGACACTGAAAAGGGGAGGGCCCATCGGACATCCATATGCAGGGCCATGGTCTGGTTGTTGGTATGTTCGTCTTTCAAGATAAACACGTTACTCACCCGTCTAAGTTCTGACCGTCCAAGAGATTCACGACGGCTGGAGTCCGACCTAGCGATATTGAGGAAGATGTCGGATCGAGCGTCGTCCGCGACTGGAGTCCGATTGCCATCCTCTGTCGCGTATTTGTTCACACCGTTCACGGTGCGCCTGCGATCGTTTCCTTCGATGTAAGTTGCTGTATACGATGGCATTCTTCTCTTTACACTTGGAAGCGTTTGCTGGGCATAAAAGGAATCTTTCCGGCGCTTTGTCGCATTGGGACTCTGTGCTTTGATGGTCGAATCAGGATCAGGGGCCAGCGCAGAATCGCTATCGTCGTCTATAGCGAACCGAGGAGATGGGGGTAGAGAAGATGATTCCTTAGTAGTGCGACCGTGGGACAGATTAAAGCCCTGGATTGAGCGCCGCGGTCTGTCGTACAGGAAAGTGCGCTGGGGGGTCGGCGTCGGGTTTAGGCTAGAGGGCGTGTCGATAACGGAGCTGTGCGATGCTAGGGTTCGCCTGCGAAGGGGTAACTGATATTCAAAGTTGAAGCGACTCTGTGGTAATTTGGGAGCCGAAGCGACCGACGTGTGGGATTGCGATGCAGAGGCGCCACGGGTTTTGGATGGTGAGGAGATCATGTCTTGAGCCGTCGGGGTTGTTGTTATTGTTGGTGAATCGCTGGTACCGGCGGATGTTAGCGCGGTTGCGGTGCCCGCGTCACGGGGATCGTCCACAAACATGGCGCCGGGAAGGTGTTGATCGAGACGGACGAGATGAGACTGCTGCTGGGCTGGTAGAAACTTTGTCTGAAACCCCAGAGTATTGCTCCGTGGACGTCGTGCGGGAAGCTCGGTCAAGGTTGGACTGACCAACGCCGACGAATGGTTCACCCCGGAGCCGTATACTGACGCTCTGGAAATTCGAGCCGAATTAAGAGGCGCGTCTCTCTGTGTTGCATGGATGGTCGGATACACCGCAGACACGGTTTGTCGTCGTTGAGGTCGAGAGTCGGAATGATGGTTTTCGGCAGAAGGTGGGAGAGCAGACGCTGGCGTCATCCCATCCACTAGGTCGTGGGACATCTGCATGCTACTACTTACACTTCTTGGTCAGGCATCCAAGGATTTCATGCACCTTCCCAGGAATCAATCAATCAGAAAATTATGACCAAAAAAAAAAAGTTATTCAGGGTGGAAAAATATAAAGGCAAAATAATGGCAAAGGATTGGTCGAAGAGGGAGAAATTTTCATTCTATTGGTTGTGGGGATCAGGGATAAAGAGTACCTCTTCTCCTCTTCCTACTACTCCGTAACTCTCGACCTTCAGGAGTGAATGGTTTATCACAATCGCCTAAGGCACCGACCTTGTCCCTAATCTATATAAATCACTACGGATTCCTATTAATAAACCTAGCCATAACCCTCGTTGTGTGGACGGGAAGGGCAGGAAAGACCCAGCCAGAGCGAAAAAAAAAAAATTAATTTATAAAAGTAAAAATAAAAAAAAAGGTACCAGGAACAGGAAATGAAGGACTCCGTTTTATAAGGGTGGCTGGATTCTTCTACTGGAGACATGGTGGAGCTGCTACTAACTCTAGTTCGGCTCCAGAACCCGGAGAAATAGTCGATTGCCTTGACGTGATATCATTCCAGATAGTATTTACGATATGATATGATAGGATGGAATGCAACTAAGGTTCCAACGTTAGTTGAATTTTTATCCCCGAGGCTGTTGATGTTCTTCTACTCCGTACGGAGGAGTACTTGCGTTGGACACATCCTATGCAACCCCCCGATGGAGAACATCGAAAAGACGCGCAAAAGGGGGCACGGACACAAAATAATAATAAAAATAAAAATAAAACAGAAGTCTACTCTGTACAGAAAGAAAAGGACTGCCGGCACTAGCCTATATTTAACCATCTTATGGTCAAACGGCTTCAAGTTCCTATAGCAACAACCACTCATAATCTCCCAACCCCATAGTCCCAAACCCCCTGGTCCAAACATTGACTGTATAGGTTTTTGTCTGGCTTGGAGAGCATGTTGCAACTGCCATTTTTCTGGTATATCTGCACTTCAAACCACCTCTCCGCATTCACTAAATTCAAGACATTAAATCATTTGAAAAAAAAGAAAATTTTTTTTCAAATGAAATAATGCCGCTGCAATACCAAACGGTGAACTACAAATTCTGAAATTCGCGGGAACAACCTCAATGGTCCTGCATCAATACATGCCCAAATTAAGCAAACCTCAGCACTTGCCTCGAAAGCCAATCCGGAGCTTAAACGAATGTATTGTGATGATAAAAGACTTGCAAAGAAAAGAGAAAGGGGTGAGAATAAAAAAGAGTAGAATAATAGAAAAAAGCAACAGAGACTAGTGAGTCACGAAACAGATTTGCTGCATTTTATTACGTTGGTGTTCGCTCTTTCAAACATAATGTGACAATTTATATATATTTGATTCAATCGACTCCCTATTGTATGCTCTTGATTCATTTAAAAAGACACCGGTCATTTTTCTACCCCCATGTCCATGGATGAAGCCAAGATATTATGTATGATCATGCAGCTCTAGAGAAATGTTGTTTCAGCTTTTCCAGTTTATCTCTTTCTTTATTTATCTCTTTCTTTTTTTTAATATGGGAATACATGCTGAACACACAACCCGGAGACAAAGACTCACAGATAAGTCCACACTGACACGCCTGTGTACAAAATTTACCTCAACACCACCCTTTTCGAATGGACAGAGGGAACCCGCAATGCCCCCAATCTGCGTCCTTTGCCAATACCGGGGAATCCTGAGAAGGCAAAGTTGATATTAATAGCTACTCCAATGTAGATGAAACGAATTGTCAGCATGTTTTGTTTAGTACCCAACGTGTGTCATCGTTCCGCATAAAATACGAAGCATCAGGCGTAAAGTCTGACTATAACTGAAAGCACAATTAGAATATGCTTTCCCAGATTGAAAACTTTTGTAACTGTAGGGGGATAGCAGTGCCTTGCTATGGTCATGTCGCTGACCTGTCAAATGCGGACAGTGTTCAGAGACAACGGCTCCAAGGATAGCCAGCTCTCTCTTGCTTTAATCTCTTAGACATACTGGCCACTTTAAAAACAAAAAAAAAAAAAAAAAAAAAAAGGAAGGGGCCAAAAGGACAAAAAAAAAGAAAAAAAAAGTAAAGTCCAAGTAGTGCTCCAAAGCCTTACCACGATAAATCAGATCATCATCGTGGTCATAGATATCGAAACACTCACACCAATCCTATGAATACAGGATCAATGACCTCGCGTCAAAGAAAACTTGTGAATAGCCTCCTGAAACGTGTCTATTGCGTTGTATGCATGAAAACCAACCGTTCTTGACCTGATCTCCGATGCAAAACAAGCAGGGTTCGCTTGTGCAACAGCCAGACAGTGAACAAGTGCTCAGCTGTTGCAAATACAGGTATACACTCCGGAGTAGCTCAGGTAAATAGTCAGGCAAATTGGGCATAGGGGGTAGAAAATTTTTAGTCTTTGCGGTGATCTGAAACAGACTTCCAACACTTGAAGAATTCAATGTTGAGTTCTACCGCAGATGCATGAATTATGCAAATTAACACGTCAAGTCAAGAGACAAGAATAGTTGATTGCTTGTACATAATATGAACACGCCTTAATTAGGTTTTGTTACTATGCATGGTCGAGCGATCCATGGATTAGGGCAAAGCTAGGCAAGACTTGACACTGTCCGCACCGTGGTACAAACTGGCTAAAAGTATGTGGGATTATCCAACGGTCTCTATATTTCCGCCTAAAGAAGGAAAAAAGAAACACTCTATGAGTGTAATTGAGGCATTCACTTGTGCAAAGACTGCAGATATGGACTATGCTAAGCGGGCGATTATCTCGATTTCCCTCTAGGCGACAATCAACCTGAGGAATTGTCTTAGATCGGGTAATTCGGTGGCCTATGGCCATAAGCACTATGTGATCAAGGAGCCACACTAATTTATATTGCTCAAAAATATGAATCACGAGATAATAAGGCACTAAGTCAGTACTGTCATGGGAAGCTGCCAGCACGGTTGTCGCACCCATGTCTTTCTTTTCCATTTCTGGCCCTGGCCCCTTCGCATACAAAGCCCTTAATTCTATTGATGGCCGCGGCTCGAACCGATATGCTCGTCTGAGATAATCGCTAAATGCTTATAAAACGTTCTGATGAAACGACCCCACAGCATTCAAAGGTGTCACCGAACCGGCGGCCCAAGTTCAATGGTTCCCGACGTCTGAATGGAGCTGTACGGAGGGTAAGTCCTTGGTTGGACATTGCAGCCACGTGGAAATGACAGAGTCAAGTTTCAAATAAACACAGTGTTGCAGAGGCACTGATAACGAACAATAAAATTTGCTCGGTGGTGGACCGTATTGAAATTTGAACGATTTACAGTGGACTCCAATGTGGGTGTGCTAGAAGCATACTATTGATTCTTGTGGCAAGTGTGGATAGCGATGACCTCAACATCAACAACCAGTCGAAACCGTGGGAACACGCGTTGTTTTGTCGTTAACAAGTTGTGGAAGAGTTCGAAGTACAAATTTTAAAGCATCCGATTCATCTATAGCCAATCAAGCCACAGATAATGATTGTCTACTTACCATTCTGAGGATTGAATCGGGGAGATCTGAAAAGATGGAACTTGGGCTGCGACAGGCGGTGTCGCACACGTGACCCTCCTCCTGGGGGGTGCAACTAGTGGCTAAGTTAGCATTAGTCTGGCGTGTTTCAAACACACCTGAACTCCTCCACCCATTGGTTTGAGTTAGCGCGCGCGAACACTGTGTGTTTCAGCTGCGCCGATGGTCCAAGTTTATTAATAACACTAGCCCGGATTCGGGGTTTGCCATTTCGGGGGATTCCCTGGTGTGTGTGTGTGTGTGTGTCGGTGTCGGCACAAAAGACAGTGCTGGACCTGAGTACGTTGCTTCTGAAATGCCGGACGGGAGGAGCGAATCAGCATGTTGGTCTCGGTCGTCTTGTTGAGTCCGAAACAATGTACAGGGATACCTAAGCCAATTCAGGGTTCGTGACTAGGACTCAGCCCGGACGATGCCCGCGCAGCTTCTCCTCGTCCCACCCGCCAATGATGAAAAGCCCACAACTCCCAGGGGGCGTTGCGCCTAGGGTGATGATGATGAATCGGATTGGTTTGGCCCCAGTCAATCAGCCTTCCCGTTTCACATTTTCCCTTATCCCCAGAGCCTCTACACGGTCTACACTAGTAGGTTGGCTCCACGCCAAATAGAGGTCCCTGCTGAAAAAGTCGCCATCTGTATCTAGTAAAATAGTGTCCTTACCTCTCGTCAATTGTCTCTTCTTTTCTGATCTTTTCTGACTTCTTCATCGCTGGAACGACTGACGCTAAACCTTTCCTTTTTCTTCAGTGACGCTCTTTGCTGCTATCATCATCATCTGAGTAAGTCCTCACTTGTAAGCCCCCCAACGCCCTGCAGTATCAGCGCACCGTGCACACCCAAGCGGGTCAACCTTACGCTAATTTGAAATTGTCACTACAGTTTAGCTGCTGGACGTATACTCTCTGCCCGCTCAAACTGGTTTTGGCCTCCTCGTGGGATTGAGCAGATTTCTTATTTTTATCTTTTCGGTGCCTCTTCTGGAAGAACCTTCCTGTTATTATTGTTTTCTTTCTTTCTTTCTTTCTTTCTCTCTTTCTTTCTTTTTTTCTCTATCTGACCTTTTGGATACTATCCTACCGTTTCCCCTCTTCGTGTGACGAGCTCTTTAGGGAAACGGGGTTGTGTGATCCTAAGCGCCGTGACCACTGCCGCATACGAATGAAAAATCCCGTTTGAATCTAGTACCACTCTGGTATAGGTTCACTTCCTGAGACTAGGTATAACAGTGCATCCTGTTGAAACCCCAAAGCATTGTGAAAGAGATAGGAGAAAAAAAAAAAAAAAAAAAAAAGGGAGTCTTTGATAATAGAAAAATAAGGTATGTTTGAAATTGTCAATTCTGCTTTTGTCCTATTATAATCTGGTTCATTATTGTTCATTTGTTTATGATCTCCTAATTTCTGTTTATACGTATTATACCCTTTGCTCTAGTTGGTTATTTCTGTCTTTGTTCGTCCAGTTCCCACCCCTTCAAGTGGTACCAGTTGTGGATCAGTTTTTCG